GGGTGGGAACATAAAGGGGAGGAGATGGAGGCACATGTAAGTGTCACAGCTGGCTTTTGGCAGCCAGGGAGCGGGCACGTCTGTGGTCACCATCTCAGTCTGGAGTGTGCTGCCAGAGAGGAAGACCGAGAAATGGCAGGAGTTGTAGGCTGGATTCAGCAGCTCATTTGAGAAGGAGTTCCAGATTCAGAGGGTGAACCACCTTAGATTCCCAAGCAGTCTCAAAGGCTCAGGCACACACCTGTCACCGCTGCCAAGTTGCTTTGAAGTGAATACAGCTCAGCAGTTGGGAAGATGTGCTTGTAGGGTCAGGGCTGGCTACCAAAGGCATAGTAGACTGGAAAGAATTGAATTTCTCCCGTTACACCTTGTGCCTTATAGATAATTCACTGGAGGTTTCTGGAGAGGTGATGTGGGCTGGTTGAAGGATAATGAGAACAGACTTGATATTAATAAGCATACATCACCAGCCCCTAGGCTAAGCAGTTTTCATAGCTTACCTTATACAATCCTCAGAACAACCCTAAAAGGTGTGTTTGTGCCACAGGACTAGGGTTATGATACCCAGTGTTATCTGACACCATGCTGCACACAGGCCTTAGACTCTGCACGGTGGGTAGGTAGTATCTCCAATGCCTAGCCTCCAATAGGTGTTTGCTGGAGCTGGTTTCTTCCTGTTTTCCCTTCCTGCTGAAGTGTCCTAGTGTGTGAAGGAAGTCTCTGGGCATTTGGACAGAGGACCGTGCATATGGGACATGGACTTCTGACTGCGGGTCCTCCTCATTGGGAGATGGCTCGTGACCACACGAGTGCTAACTGTGCTCTGTGACTCCCGTTGGCCCACTTCCCTTCCAGGGGTGATGCTGATATTATGCACCTGGGAACCAAAATATCACAGGAGCCGTCATTGCTGTCATTGCTGTCTTAGCCACCAGAAATACAGCTAAGGTCTTCTAGCTCAGTCTGGCTTTCGTCTTTTTCCCTTTTATGGGTTTTCAGCTGACCTGAAGTGGGGGAAAGAATCGAGCCTCAGGATTCTTCTATGGGAGGCTATAACAGTGGGTCTGAGGATTATAATAACTCTCGTACATTTCCTAAATATGACTGAGTCTCTAACCTCAGTAAACCTCCCCCTTAAAGATCACTTTGGTGGAGGCAGTGGTTGCAGGGGGTGGCCCTGGCTTACTTGAGTTGACATAGCTTGCTTCAGAGACAAAGTAATTAACTGGCAGAGATGGGGCCCAGGCCTGGCATTCCCAACCATCTCCTTGCAGGCCACTTTCCTGCTCCAGATTGCTGCACTAGGTAAAGTCCCAGTGTGCCTGTATTAATTAGTTGCTTCTTTGTTGCTGCTGTGATAAAACACCATGACCAAAGCAACTTAAGGAAGAGATGGCTCCAGAGGGATGAGGCCATTGTGATGGGACAGAGGCACTGCTGCAGGCACGGTGGCCGGAAGCTGAGAATTCATATCTTCTATCACACAAGCACAAAGCAGAGGGCAGACTGGGAAGCAGAGCAAGCCTGTACATTCTCAGAGCCCACCTCCAGGGACATACGTCCTCCAGCAAGGCCACATCTTCTCTACAAACAATGTCACCATCTGGGGCCAAGTGTTCAAATGCTCGAGCCTCTGGGGGGCATTACTTATTCAAACTACCACAGTGGGATGATTTACTGGAACAAACACCATCTTCATTTCCTTATGTACACTGTGCGTTTATTTTTTTTTTTAATTTCTGAGTACACTTGCTGCTTTTCTGCCTTCAAGGTCCAGTGTAGACAGCACTTCCTGTAGCAAGTCCTCCAGATACTTAGAGTTGGCATCAGGCATCTCCATCACCTGGCTCCCACACCAAACCCTAGTATTTCTACACACACACACACACACACACACACACACACACACACACACACATTCTTTCTCTCTGATTTCACTATAGTTACCCTGATTCACAGGAAGATACTAATTACTGACAGTAGTTGGCATCATGGCACAGATTTTCAGTATTTAAGTTCTTTTGTGACATGGCCCACTGTATCAGATCCATTTACTGTTCTCCGTGAGGTCCTCCTTGAGACATAGACAGTGTCAGGATTAAGCTCATTGAATAGCTAGATGCCTTAGGGAGTGCCATCAAAAGTCATTGAACCCCTCTCCCGCAGTTTCCAGACACCTGACAAAAGCACACACGTACTCTGTAGACTGCAGAACTAGCTGCAGATCTGATTCCTCCTGCTCCTGTGTCTTCCCTTTGTGAACTATAAGTCTGTTTATGATTAATCTTCACATGCGGTATCAGGTAAGGGTCAAGGTTCGTTTTTATCCCAAAAGGTTGTCCGTGCTGTGATGCTTTCCTTTCTGCCCCTCTGTTGCCTTGATGCCTACCTTTGTCAGAGCTCAGCTGACCGTACTAAGTGTGAGTCTGTTTTCTAGATTCCATTTTGTCCCCGTGGTATAAATGGCAATACTCAGCCAAGTCTCATACTGCTGTGTTTCATGCCATTTTATACAAAGTCTTGATAAATCAGGTAATAAAGCTTTCAGACACTGCGTCCTCATAGAGTAGCTGAATATTGCAACAGTACCCGTGCTCTTAGGATACTTAGTTATTCTCCTGTCTCCATAACCTCACCTGTCCTCTGAAGTTAGGCTGCCAGTTTGGAATCAACGAAGTTTCTGCTCTGGCTGTGCCTTACATGCATGATAAGTTACAGTAAGAGACTAGAGATGTTTCTGAACATCTCTGTAGTACTGACTTCTGCAAGAACGGAAGCCTAAGCCTTCATCCTTCTTTTGTAAGACCTAACAAGTACCTTGTATAAACCTAGAAGAGAAATGTCAAAAATTCATTAGCAAGAATTACACAAAGCCCAAAGTAATAGACAACCTATTAAAGAACTCTCTATTCAGGCAGGCCTGGTGGCTCAGCCAGTAAAGGTGTTTGCTGTGCCAGCCTGGCAGCCTGAGTTTGATCCCCAGAACCCACATAAAAGTGGAAGGTGAGAACTGACTCTACAGAGCTGTTCTCTGTGTACATGTCCTGGCATGTACACGGGCACCGTGCACACACACTTAATAACAGAATTTGTAAGAATGATTTCATATTCAAGAGTGGATGTTTACCCTTCAAAACTCCCTCCTAAATCACTGTGTAGCTGACGATAACTGTACTGAACTTCTGATCTCCCTGCCTGTACCTCCTGTGTGCTGGGGTTACAACCCCAGCGTGGTTACACCATGGCTGGTTTATAGAGTCAAGCCAGGGCTTTGACTGGTAGGCAAGCATTCTGAGCAGCACTCTCAGTCCTGAAAACATACTCTTAGAAACCTAAAAATTATGAAACATGTATGTGTTAGCAATTTGTTTCATAAAAGTATTGTTTGCAAATAACATGGGTTTTAAATTTTGACATCTAGGCTGGTTTTTATTTTTAAATGTATAATTTTCTAGCATTTCATTGTTGTTCATTTGAAAGGGCACTATTTATCCACCCCTCTTCAGTATGTGCCAGGATTATAGGGAGCAGAAGAGGTCTAGAACATTCTTTAGAGAGCAGAATAAACATTTGGGGATTTCCACTGTATCACACAAGAAGTAAGGTAGGGGCCCTCATTTGCAAAGCTCACCTGGTCCCATATACACGTGGCTGGTATCTGTAGATGCAGCAGGAGCTAGACACTTAGCTTGTGCTAGTTGAAGCTACTGTTTAGAGGTGAATAAAGGTCAGACTCACAGGACTCCCCGTAATGTAAATTCTTGGACATGATCTGGGAAAGGCATGCCACACAAGATCTTATGGTTGCTGGTGGAAAGTTGTTACGATGTGTATGGTAGAAGCCCAGGGAAAAAGAATGCTGGTGAGGGTTGAGGGGGAAGACAAACAGGCCCCTGAAGCCAGGCTCTGATTGTACAGAAGCCAGGGCTTGAGGTTGGCCCATCCTTCCAGGCAGCCCCGGGGAAAGGCAGTTCCCAGTGTGATCTTGGAATGTGGAGAGGCAGAGTCTTTCAAATAAGGATTTGACTGTGATTTGTTTGTTTGTTTTTGGTTTTTTGTTTGTTTGTTTGTTTGTTTGTTTTTTGAGACAGGGTTTCTCTGTGTAGCCCTGGCTGTCCTGAAACTCACTCTGTAGACCAGGCTGGCCTCAAACTCAGAAATCCACCTGTCTCTGCCTCTCAAGATTAAAGGCCTGCGCCACCACTGCTCAGCTGATTTTTTTTTTAAGCTGACTTTTTTTCCCCCCATTTCAGATGAAGGACAAATAAATAGATATTCCCAACCTTTAACCAGAGCAGGCATGAGAAGTGTGATTGTTGGGTCATCTGCAGGCCCATTGTAGTCTTGGTGACATTAAATGTTCTTGGGGAAGTATAAGTGATTTTACTAACAGATGTAGGAAATCTCGTTTTGTTCTGTTTTGGGTGGGTGAGCAAGCGTGTGTGCACGCGTGCGTGTATCCCTTGTGCACATGTGTGTGTGCCATGTGTTTTGAGCAGGTGACTGTTCGAGCAGATGTGTTTGTGCATCCCCCTCTAGATGCCAGAGCAGGCCACTGGATCTTCCTCTATCACCGTCCACCTTGCTGTCTTGAAAAGTCTCCTGCTGAGCCAGAAGTTCGCTGGGCTAGGCTTGTCGCCTGAGAGGTCGCCTGCGAGCTCTCAGCTCTGCGCTTTACCCAACTGCTAAGAATTCATACTGTGGTCCCTGTACTCATAGCGCAGGCACCCTTAACCACTGAGCCTTCTAGTCCCAGCCTGGATGTCTGGTTGTTTTTCTTTTTTAAAAACTCCTGTTTGATTGATTCTTTTTAAAAAATAGAAGTATCAATAATTTGTAAGCTATTGATGACTCTACTTACCGCGCGTGCGCACAGGAGCGCACGCGCGTACACACTTGCACACATACGTGCTCTGCCCTCCCTTCTCTCTTTCAAAATTGCTAAGTTCTTTACAGTTGAATTTACCCTGATGTGTCTTTTTTTTTTTTAACTTTTCTAGTTTCTCCAGGAGTGATACAAAATGGAGCAAGGGTTCTGAGCCGGGGGCTGTTTCCTGGTGTCCGCCCATTGCCAATCACTCCCATCGGGATGACGGCAGCCATAAGGTAAGAGAAGAGCTTGCTGGGCCGTCTGGCTGGGTAGTGGGGAGATCCCTCTGTCCCCTGGGGTCCTCAAACACTTTGTTCTCCGAGATCAAAGGGCAGCACACTCATCCAAACATCATCACCCTTTCCTGTGAGCAATGTCTTTCTTTCTTAAGTAACAGGGCAAAATCGGCGAGAAGGCAAGGGTAAGCAGTTGTTGACTGGGCATTGGATCCCTCTGTCTCTTTCCATCCTGTGACCCTGGGATGGTGTCTCATCTCTCTGGACCCGCCTCAGTTCCCTCATCTGTGAGACTTCATGTCTACATGGAGGGGTGCTGTAAAACATGCAGAATTGCTTGTGAACTATGATTTGGTAAGGGGGTCTATGAACAGCAGGAGTGTCATTTCCCAGTCACTGAGAGTCAGGTCAGGGGACACTGAATGAGCTCTTCTTTGGGGGATTTCTTTCCTCCATCCTCCTCCTCATCTCCATCAGCAACCCCAAGGTCGAGTCCACCTCTGGCTTAAAACCCTCACGTGCAGCGTGACAGTCTCCTGGTTCTCTTCTTGCCCACCTATCAACCACTCACTACCTTACCAGTCTCCTAAACTGTGACTCCTGTGACTCCTGGGCTCTTTCCACGACTCCCTCCACATTCTCCCAACACCCCCCACCCTGCCTTTCTCCTTGAGCTAAGTGTGTTCGATGGCATCTTAGTTTCTTTTTCCTATTGTTGTAATCAAATATTCTGACCAAAGCAATGGAAGGGGAAAGGCTGGTAGTTAAAGGACATGGTCCATCCTGGCAGGGAAATCAGAGCAACAGGAGACTGAAGCGGCTGTCACATCACAGTCAGGATGCAGAGGGGGGGACACCTGCTGTTGTTCAGCTCAGCACCCTCTGCCCAAAGAACAGTACTACCCATTGTGCACGGCCCATCCCCTCTACCCTTCAAGATATTCCCCACAGGCATGCCGAAGGACCTGTCTCCCAGGCATTCTGGATCCTGCCTAGTTGACCGCTAATACTGCCCATCACAGGCAAACACATCCACGACCTGTGCGTCTTACTCTGTGGTGTCTTCTGTAGATTTCCCTCAGTGTTCAGATTCCTTCAGAACACTTTCCCAAAGGTGGCCACCAACTTGAGCTTCAGATGCACCCCTTTTGGAGTGTACCCCTGTGCGTATTTTCTCTTCTCATGGGCTTGATGCTGAGAGTGGGACTAGATCTTTCTCAGCTGACCAATCAGGGCAGAGTGAGCCTGCTAGCTTGCTAAAGCCCCTCCTCCCCTCAGCTGCATCCCTTTTCTTTTTTTCACACCTGAGTCATGGCTCACTTGTGTTACTTCCATTTCTGCTGTCGTAGCATGCCATGGCCTAAAGTAACTCAGGGAAGGAAGGTTTCGTGACAGTTCTAGAGTGGACACAGTTATCGTATGGGAACACATGGCTGTGGGAGCAGGAAGCTGACTGGTTATCATTTTTCTCTCTCTTTCTCTCTTCTCTCTCTCTCTCTCTCTCTCTCTCTCACACACACACACACACACACACACACACACACACACACACACACACACACACACTCAAGCATGAAATAGCAGAATATCGTCCAAATATGGTCTTGTACCTGCCCAATCTCCTCAGATTTCCAAAAGCAGTTGGGGAGGGGAGTGTAGTAGGCTCTATAAGCCTGGGGACATTTGCTTGTGGCGCCTGCTCTCTTTGAGGGTGACCACCGGCACCACAGCGAGCATGCAGCTGTGTGCACATTTGCAGATTCTGCAATGCCCAAGACTCGGCAGAATGTGTGACTGGGAGAGAAGTCTCCTGCTCACTCCCTTTCCTCATAAGATTCAAGTCTGGCCACCTGCCACTTGAACCTAAATTCACCTGTGCTTGAGAACTCAGCAGTCCAGTGAAGAACAGAATCCTGAATGTCACCTGCCTGTGCACAGGGCCGTGTGCGCCTGAGGGTCCTGCAGGTGTGCCAGTGTTCGTCCGAGAGAGTCACTAGCACCCACTACAGGCCAGTGTCCGCCTCTCCTTTGCGTGACAGGATTTCTGTGTAATTCTGAGCACTTCCCAACTTAACTGAAAATATTTATCTTTCAGGGATTTTTCCCCCTCTACTGAGTGGCAAAGGCCGTGTTTGTTTGTCTTGAGTCTGAAACTGTTATTGACATAGATGAAGTGTTACTTTTATTAGCTGATCGTTACACAGCTTGTATTTGCTGGGTTCCTTTGCATATAATTATGATGCGAAACCTCCTTGTAAGAGCATCTGTCAATAGTGTAATTGACTCGACCGTGTTGACTTTTTACTCAATAACCTCCAAGATGGGCCCAACCTTAGACATCGGAAAGCTGCTTATCTTTAAATTTGCCAGGACGGAGAGTGCTCGGAGAGTGCTCGGGGTGCATCCCCCAGTACCGTTCACCTGGGCGCGCTGCCTGCTTCTGCTACTGCTTTCCCAGGGGAAATAACAGCACAGGTTCCACCAAATGGATGGAGCTGGAAATGATGTCAGTGGAGGAGTGCCTGCCTGACGTGCGTGAGGCTCAATTCCTAGCATGACACACACCTATATGAGAGAGAATTCCATCTAACGGAACACATGATCACAGACCTTGGGGAAGAAGGGGGTTCTTCCCACTTAGTGCCATGAGCTGCCTCCCAAGTAGAGAGGTCACAACTCTGGTCTGAAACATCTTAGTTCTAATTTCAAAGTCCTTTTTTAAATACAAAAAGTTATTTTTGAATTTTTACTGTATGTGTGTTTTGCCTTCATGTGTTGCCCACTGGGGGCTAAAGGAAGGTGTCATCTCCTAGAACTGGATTTAAGAACAGTTGTGGCCCACCATGTTGGTACTAGGAGCTGAGCTGTGGTCCTCTGAGAGAACAGCGAGTGGTCCTAACCACTGAGCCATCCCCAATCAACCTTATATATGTTATATGTCCAGGGATGGGGGAACATACAAGTCAGGGTGGTGTACAGGAGCCTGTCTCCTCTCCACACTGTGTGAGTTCCAGGGACTGAGTTCACAGAGATTCTCAGGCTTAGCAGCAACTGTCTTTACCAGCTAAGGCATCTCACTGGCCCTTCGGGACCACCTCGATGAAAAAGACCTAACGCCCCTGTTTTCCCACAGGATTGAGAGAGTGACTAGAAGGTGAGCCCTTGTAGGCAACAGTGTCCATAAACTATGCAGAGATGCTCAGGAAACAGACTCCTGGGTGTGGCTCAGATTCACACAGAGACCTGTATGGGCCCCATGAATTATTGAGTTTAGCACAGCTGTGAGCCCTGCATAGACTAAACTCTAGCGCAGCTGTTTACAGCTGACGTGAACAGCCCCGTACTCTCCCAGGTCCCCCTCCCATGCACCAGAGGCTGGGTCCTGAGCCTCAGCAAGTGGCTTTAGCTGAACCCCTGCCACCTTTCATGCACGGCAGACTTGTGGTAAGGTCGCCAGCTTTAAGGAATCATGCAGGTCTAGCCCTCAGCCCGCAGCACTGTGAGGAAATGCCCCGTGGTTACCAGGTGAGGCTGCTTGACTTTATTTGGATCTCCAGAACCTTACTTGAAAACATTTCCAAGGGAACAGGAAACAAGTCAGTCATTGCTGCCAGTCACGCCACCAGTTCCTAAGGTCAGAGCATCTGGAGAACCCATCTCACAGTACCAGCTCTGCTCCAGACCAGTCACTTGGAGATGTTCTGAGGGTGCGGCATTGATGGACCCTGAAGATAGAAGTAGAGGGATCTCTTCTCACACTCTGCTATGTTGTTGTATTTTACAAGACCAAGCAGCTGTTGTCTTTTGTCTCTGAAACTGTGACCTTCAAAGGTAGCTTCAGGACATAGTATTAAATTATATATGGTGAGTGACAATGGTGTCTTTAATCTCAGCACTCAGGAGGCAGAGGCAGACAGATCTCTCAGTTCTACTATAACCTGCTCTACAGAGTAAGTACCAGAACAGCCAAGGCTACACAGAAAAACCCAGTCTCTCAGAGGGAAAAAAATGGTTTGAAGCAGGAGAAAATATTAAAAGGTGAGGTAGAGAAAGAATCCAAAGAAAGCCATCAGAAAGAACACTTTATTCTCTCCTGGGCCTCGTGTCCCAGCAAGAGTCTTCTGTCTCCTCTCAGACCCACTGATCAGTACCCACTGGGGCACTCTTTGTATCTCTGGTCCTTGACGCTGACTAGATGTCTTTGAAAGTCCTGGTGGTTCCTTTCTTCCCCCTGTATCTGAAAATCCTCAGCTCCTGCAGATTCTGAGTAGGCCACTAAATGTGGGAGAGGTTCAGGATCTTTCCTGTTTGTGTTCTGTGAGCTCATGCGTGGAAGTTGTGTTTATCATTGTCACCTTGGATGTCCAAGGCTTCTGCCTTCTGGAGAATTTGACACTCCGTAAGATGGAGTTCTCTAGGCAGCTTTTATGAAGTGATTCTTGCCTGCCTTTCCTTACATTCTTCTTCAGTCAGGCTGGTGCACTCGGACTCCCCACACACACACACACACACACACAGAGACACACACAACCTGAATGTTTTGTCTGATTGGATGTCTGTGTACCACATGTGTGTAGTGCCTACAGCTGCCAGAAGAGAACCCCAGATACCCTGGAACTGGACTTACAAATGGTTGTGAGCCATCATGCATGTGCTGGGAATTGAACCTAGGTCTGCAGGAAGAAGAACCAGTACTCTTAACCACTAAGATGTCTCTCCAGCCCCTTCTTCATTCTCTACTCTGGGAGCTACCCCCCCTTTTTTTAAAAATATTTTTATGCAGAATCCACCATCCAGTGTAAACTGCTTTGTCCTTTATGTTAGGTAACTGCAATCTATTTTTTTTTTATTCAAAAGGTTTTGATATGCGTAAACAACATACCGTTCGGTTTTACATACCTTTGAAGGGGTGTTTGTTTGTTTGTTTGTTTGTTTTGCTAGCTGATACGTCTTCCTCCAGCATGCTCCCTGAGGTTCATTTGCACCACGTAGCTATTGTG